CTTGATTTTGCCAGTCATTTTAGGCTGGCAGCAGACAAGGACTTTGCTTTCTTCTACACCTCTCAGCATGTTAATAAAGGCAAAGGGCAAAATCTGAATGAAAGGAGAAAAAGTAAGAGACCCTTAGAAATTTACAGAAGAGCAATGGCGGATTGAAGGACATGACCTCTGAGAGAGTTAAGCCGAGCAGGTAAAGGCTCCCAAATTTATTTTTTTACTTCTGAAACTTCAGATTCCAGGCTCAGCCTGCATTTCTCCTCACATCTTGGCTTTTTCTGGTGGAGTCATAATAGGCTGTGGGGGCCAGTTGCCAAAGTGCCTCTGGAAAGTAATGTAGCTTCATCCTTGTTTCCCAAGGAAGATGCCAGATCTTCTGTATGGAGTCTTGCATTCTCTCCTGAGCTGTTTCATTCCCACTGCCAATCTACTGGTAATTGTGGTTGTCTACAAACTGATGAAGAAGAAGCAGGGTACAAACTACATCTTCATCCTCAACCTGGCTTTTGCAGACTTGCTGGTGGGTGTAATGTGCATAGCAGAGGCACTGGACGATATGCTGGATGGAAACTTTGACAGGAACTTGTCTATCTGTCTCTTGCGGATCTGCATGAGCCTGACACCTTGTATTGGCTCCATCCTCACTTTGCTCTTGATTTCCCTTGATAGATACTTGGCAGTAAAGCTGCCCCTTCATTACCCGGCCCTTTTGAACAAAAAACCCATAGTCCTCTCGCTCACTGTTCTGTGGGCCATCTCTTTCTTGTTTGGCCATATGCCTTTGATTTTCCCCTCTCTGCAGAAAAGCAACTACACGGGCTACTGTGGGCTCCTGTATGCAGCCAAGAGTGAATACCTGTATGTGATTTGCTTCGGCATCTTCATCCCTGTCCTGCTGATCCTGATCTGCCTGCATGTCTCAGTGGGGAGGATTGCCTACTCACAGCACAAACGGATCTTGCGCAGCTGCTTGCAAGCAGAGCCCTTCAGAGCCCACCTCCGCCACTTCAAGGCACTGAGGACAGCTCTTATAGTGATCATCTGCTTCACGCTCTCCTGGGGACCTTACTACATGGTAGGCATTGTGCAAGCTATCTGTGAGTCCTGCAACTTGGCTGAGCCCCTGAAGGATATCTTATTTCTGCTGGGAGAACTCAATTCCCTTATCAACCCCATCATCTATGCACTGTATAGTAAAGATATAAGAAGCCATTTGGCCAAACTGATGAAATGCAAGAAGAAAGGGCAAGTAAATCCATTGGCTGTCATCCACTTTAATATCCAAGCCTCTGGCGGCTTAAACAATCAAGAGGGCAAGGGGTCTGGTTCATCGGGAGATCAAGCTTCTGATGTCACTTTCCCCAGCTGTTCTGGTAACTGCAAAACAGTCTTCTCAGTATCTTGATTCAAAGCAGGTGAGCAGCCCACAGTCCAGCAATGAAAGGGAACATGGGATGGATAATTTTTGAGTACACTGAGTGACAAAGAAAAAAAAAATTGAAAACCACTCCAGGTTAAGGTTTTTGGGTTTTGCCTTTCCATACATAAAATATGACTGAGTTGCTTGGAAATGTGTGTGTTTGGAGAAGGGGGGAGCTGGGCAGCAGGCAGGGGGCGGTGTTACTCAATTTTGACAAAACGGGCTTGTTTTTAAAATCAGTCTGCTAGAAATAAAATGTTTTCCATGCGTGGTGGGTTAAACCTTGAATTGCACTGAGCCACCGTATGTTCCCATTTGCACCAGAGCAACTCCTGTGATGTTATGTGTTCAGCAGCAGTTACACACGGGATCATTTCCTGCACAGGCTTGCACTTACTTTAGACACCTGTCAAGGGTTATAATTTATCTTTGCTTTGTTGGATAAAGTCCTCTCTTATCTTTCTGTGTCAGACACATCCAACAAGTGACTGAATCAGCTCTCTGCCGCTAAGTGAAAGTGAGATCAGAGCTGGGCTCTGTGTTTATCAATATATACTGTGCATTAGCTAAATGCTCTGCTGTGCTCTAAGTATGTTTCTTTTTCTGAACTTTTCAAGTGTAGTGGTTGTTGGAAGGCAGACAAAGCTTCCTTGGGTGAATTTGATATCTTTTATTAGACCAACCCAAATAGCTGTTGGAACACTTTTTTGCTACCTTTTTATCAAATGGCTGGTTGCTAGCTTCCATGACTTGTCTGATTCTTTTTGTTCCCATTGCATGGGTATCCAGACCATTAAAACCACCACAGCTATCATTACTTAGCAACCATGGCAGTCTTAGTAGCAGGAAAGAGTATAAGATAGGTACAGAAACTGACCCATCCCTAGCCATAACCCCTCTTAGGCAGGAGTTAGATGGTCATTGGAGGAACAGCTATTGCTGCCTAGGTTATACCAGTCTAGTGTATAGAGAACTTGGTTAAGGGACTGGAGTGGGAGATAGGAAACTTAAACACAGTTTCTGGCTCCAAAAAACAGAGAGAGAGAGAATGTGAGAAAATGAGTCTGTCTGTGCCTATGTCTTTCAGCTACAAAACGGGGATATTAATGATTCCCTTCTCAATGATGGTGATTGGGGGGGAGGGCACAGTGATGTGGGTGAACCCCCTCTTTGGATTGGACTGCACCATGGGGAACTTCTTAAAGCTCCTAAAGCAGGTGGAAATCCTTCCTCATTTTCCCTGCCTGCTCAGATGTCCTTTCACCACCTGCTTTTCTCTGCTATCCCAAGCCATTCCTG